AAGTTTTTGACAGAACTCTGGCTGCTGCATTTTGTAGCAGCTGAAGTTCATTTAAGGATCAAGGCTCTATGCATGTTCCATAGATGGTAGAATGCAGTTTTAGTAATATTTCTTATGTAAGCATCGAAACATAGTTCTGAATCAACCAGCACACCAAGATCTTTGACCACTGTGTTAATCTGAATAGGAAAACCATCTCTTCTTAGTTCCCAGCCTGAAATAATGGTGTGATCTAAGTGATTTGTAGCAATTTCTTTGCTTTTATAGTTTCTGTCAAGTAATGCTAGTTAGGATTAAAGGTTATAATGGTGCATTGATTTACTACTGTGATTCACCCCATCCATACTACAGGCACTCTTCCACCGCACCAGGTACCATACTTTTGGTACTTCAAGAAAGTACTTCAAGGTGTTGGTTTTTCCACTGCAGTAAAAACTGGTACTGGTGCTAAATGACATCACAATGTGAGGCGAGGTATTTTGTACTGCATTCTAAAAATGGCTGTAGTATGTTAGAGGGCTGGATGATGTGTAATATTGATACCAACATCGCATGTTATGCACATGCAATTCTTACATCGCTGGTCAGCTAGGTAAAGATCAGGCTTTTTCTTAATTTCAGTCCTGTTTACAGACATTATAGCACAAGAAGTTTCACTAAAACATTTTTACTCTTTCATAGAAAAAACCTTAGCTAGCTTTTTAAAATTTTAATTATTATTCCTTTTATAAATGATCTAATATATGTTTAAAAATCAGTTTAAAGTTTACCTCCCCTGCTTTTGCATTAGCGCTGCATGCTTTCTCCGAGACAATCATAATCATTTTCATCCTGGATATTTTAACTCACTTCCTAGACATGTTTGTGAGAAATTAATTTAAATCCTTTTTTGCTTTATAAATACCCCAACATTTATTACAACAAAATCACATCGGCAAACAAAATACTTCCTTAATTTATTGTTATGCATTTCTAATCTTTTTGTTGTACCTGTTCTACCGACCAGATGCTACCACTGTCAGACTACACATTATTATACTAGAACTCGTGGCCATAAGTGGAAATTAGCGGGAGAACATTTTAAAACAAATTTGAGGAAGCACTTCTTTACACAGCGTGTAATTAGAGTATGGAATAGTCTTCCTGCTAGTGTAGCGGAAGCTAAAACCATGGGTTCCTTTAAATCAGAGCTAGATAAGATTTTAACAACTCTGAGCTATTAGTTAAGTTCTCCCCAAACGAGCTTGATGGGCCGAATGGCCTCCTCTCTTTTGTAAATTTCTTATGTTCTTATGTTTTTTGGGGTCTGCACAGTGTTTTTATTGCACTACACAAAGCACCTTGCATTCTGTTCCTCAGCCTCCCTGGGAAGGTCTATGCTGAGGTACTGGAGAAGAGGGTCCACCCATTAGTCGAACCTCAGATACAACAGGAATGATGCAGATTGCATCCTGTTTGCGGAACACTGGACCTTCTTCACCCTAACCCTAACCCTGCTCTTCACCCTCACCAGGATACTGAAGGGTCATGGGAGTTTGCCCAAGCAGTCTATATGTGTTTTGTGACCTTGTAAATGTTCCTTAGGGGATCCTGTGGAGAGTGCTTCAGGAGTACAGGGCATGGGGTCCGTTGTTGCTGGCTATCCTGTCCCTGTATAAATGGAGTGAAAGTTTGGTTTAGATTGCCAGCAGTAAGTCAGAATTGTTCCCCATGGGTGTTGGACTCCGCCAGTGCTGCCCTTTGTCATTAATTCTGTTCATACCTTCTATGGACAGAATGTGTATGCATAGCCAAAGAGCGCAGGGGTTCCTGTTTGGGGGGCTCAGGGTGATGCTTTTTGCAGATGATGTGGTTCTTTTAGCATTGTCAATCTGTGATCTGCAGCATGTGCTGGAGTGGTTTGCAGCTGAGTGTAAAGCAACTGTGATGAGGATTAGTACCTCTAAGTCTGAGGCAATTGCTCTCGACTAGAAAAATGTGGATTGTCCTCTCCTGGTGGGGGATGAGTTACTGTCTCAAGTGAATGACTAAGTATTTCTGGGTCTTGTTCATGAGTGAGGGAAACAGGGAGCAGGAGATCAACAGGTGGATCACTGCAGTGTCAGCACTAATGTGGATGCTGTACTGTTCTGTTGTGGTAAAGAGAGAGTTGAGCCAGAAGGCAAAGCTATTGATTTACCGCTCAATCTATGTTCCTATGCTCGCCTGTGATCACGAGCTTTGGATAGTGACTAAAAGAATGAGATTGCGAATACAAGCTGCATAAATTAGTTTCTTTTGCAAGGTGTCTGGGCTTAGCCTTAGAGGTAGGGTGAAGACCTGAGACATCTGGGAGGAGCTCAAAGTCGAGCTGCTGTTCCTATTCATTGAAAGGAACCAGTTGAGTTAGTTTGGGGATCTATCTACAATGCCTCCTGATTGCCTCCCTGGGGAGGTGTTTTGGGCATGTGCAACTGGAAGGAGACCCCGGGGTAGACCCAGGAGACTGTCTAGAGCTCTCTGCTCTTTCAGTGTGATTGATGGTGTCAGCAACTCCATCTTGTGCATATAGACTCCATCAAGTTTCTTGTGCATATAGTGGATTTTGAGGAGTGGCATTTTCTCAACAGTTATATGGCGTGGTGCAATGCACCTCCCACTTCTTTATTAATATACCAGTAGTGTTGTCTGGCACATTCATACACTTGTTATACTTATTCTCTATGTATTTGTATATCTTTAAAAGTGATCTTTAGTATAGGTCGTCATCGACTGACAACCTATGCGACTTATGGCTGATTGACTTTACAGTCATTCTGGGACCACAAATATGTTGCCACAACTGTGCCATGTCTGGCAGCACCAGTGTTGCCCAGTGTGAGTGTATGGTCTGCAACAACTGCTGGCAGCAGTGAACTAAGGAAATGGTGATTAAGAAGGTTAAAAAACACAGAATAATATGACTTAAAGATGATACAATTTTATTATACAGTATACTATACATATGATTATTTTGTATATAAAATAACGTGTCAACCTACGACCATTTGTAAATCAATTTGGTTGGAAGTTGACACTGAATTCATTTGATTAATTATTATCATTTTCCTTGCCTAAAAAAACTAAAAAATAGCACATATTTTTCTTGTTTTTATTCACTTAATTGTAGAAAAGCTGTACAACAGTAAGTCAATTTGGTATCCTTATTTAAAAAATTCCTTTCACCTGAATTGCCAGGAGACAGAGCTTGAAGACTTAAAAAAGCAGAGATTTTTTGCCTTTGCTTCTAATTTCTATATAGAAGAAATTTTCCTTTTCTGTTCTGTTTGAGCATGCAATACTATAATAAGTGTATAAAGATGTATCATTTGCACTCCAAAAACATTTGCAGTGTTTGCAGCGTGTAAATACTTTTTCAAGGAGCTACATGCATCATATAATATATGGTATTATTGGTATTATTCTGTGTACGGTTTACATGAAAAAATATACACTAGCAGTCTAAAGTTTTTGCACAACACACGTTTTTACCATTTATTTCATAAACTGCAGAATTTTTATTCTTGTTAAGCATTGTAAAGTTGAGTGAACAACTATAAATGAAAATAAAAAAGTCAAATAAAACAAGTTTCCAAGTTTATAACATGGAAAGAGTATGTCCTGTAACTGGTTCAGTAGTAATGGCATAGTCAAATTCTAGGCAGTCCTTTAATTTTAAGTGAGTAGAGCAGTATTTACAGTCATAGCCAAAAGAATGACACAAGTACTGGAATTCACAAAGTTTGCTGCGTCAGTGATTGTAGATCTTTTTGTCAGATGTTTACTGTACAAGCATTTCATAATTGTCAAAGGCTTTTATTGACAATTACATTAACTTTATGCAAAGAGTCAGTATTTGCAGTGTTGGCACTTCTTTTTCAAGACCTCTGCAACTTGCCCAGGCATGCTCTTAATCAACTTCTGGGCCAAATCCTGACTGATAGCAGCCCATTCTTGCATGATCAATACTTGGAGTTTGTCAGAATTTGTGGATTTTTGTTTGTTTACCTGCTTCTTGAGGGTTGACCACAAGTCCTCAATGGGATTAAGATTTGGGAAGTTTCCTGGCCATGGACCCAAAATGTTGATGTTTTGTTCCCCAAGCCACTTAGTTATCACTTTTGCCTTGTGGCATAGTGCTCCATCATGCTGGAAAAGGCATTGTTCATCACCAAACTATTCTTGGATGGTTGGGAGAAGTTGCTCTTGGAGGATGTTTTGGTACCATTCTTTATTCATGACTGTGTTCTTAGACAAAATTGTGAGTGAGCCCACTCCCTTGGCTGGGAAGCAACCCTACACATGAATGGTCTCAGGATGCTTTAATGTTGGCATGACACAGGACTAATGGTAGCACTCACCTTTTCTTCTCCGGACAATCTTTTTTCTGGATGCCCCAAAAAATTGGAAAGGGGATTCATCAGAGAAAATTACTTTAGCCCAGTCCTCAGCAGTCCAATCCCTGTATCTTTTGCGGAATATCAGTCTGTCCCTGATGTTTTTCTTTGAGAGAAGTGGCTTCTTTGCTGCCCTTCTTCGCAGCGGGCCTCCCTCCATAAGTCTTCACCTCACTATGCATGCAGATGCATTCACACCTGCCTGCTGCCATTCCTGAGCAAGCTCTGCACTGATATTGCCCAGATCCCACAGTTGAATCAACTAACAATTGAACATCTCTCCTTCAAGTTCTTGATGATCTGATAAATTGTTGATTTAGGTGCAATCTTACTAGCAGCAATATGCTTATGAAGCACTGAATAAATATTAGTAACTCCTAGAGTGGGTTACTTTGATGTATCAAAGATATGACATTTTCTTGCTAATAAAGGTACTTGAATGGTGAACATACTGTAAATGTATTTGTTAGCAAAGAATATTGAGTGTATTTTTAGTAAATGTTAAGTGAGTAACATGTAAATGTAGAAAATCTCAGTGTGTTCAAAAACGTTTTATTGTTAGTATATCTATGTATTCCTTTTCAGAGTTTTTTGGGACCATCTTGATTCTCAGCAAGTTGGTGTGCATAAGCACGAATGGCTCGACTGGTGTGCCTAATGTGTGTGAGCTCATTAGCACTGAGCTATGCCATGGGTAAGTTAATTCTTAATCTCTTTCCTTAACCTTCTCTTGCTGTAGTGAATTATTTATTTGTGTTTATGCAACATTTCTATTTCCATGGCCTCCTGTATGTTTACACCAATACCAACTTGCTCTTTATACATAGCTGATACAAAAACTTCAGACAATATCAATCTTACAAATGTCTAAAATGTTAGCGTAAAGGATTGCCACAAATGGGAAAGGCTCCTCCCAAGAATATGAGTTTTTTTTTCTTCAGTAGGTACAAAGACATATTATTAACTTTGGTTTGACTTTTCCATTAAAAAAAATCACATGTTGCCATCCATCTGAGTTTGACAACCACTGAGTACAGGATAGTAATGTGCATCATTAATACTCAGTGGATATTCAGATACATAAACCACACATACAAAAATTTGCTACACAGAACACAAAGAACTATAAATTAATACACAAGTGCCTCATGGATTTATCCTCATGGCTGGACTACTATTACCATCACATGCCAACACACCTTTTGCGCAATCCTTGCTTGTCTATGCAAGACCTGATAGAATAAAACTCTTTTTGTGAGAAAAATTTCTCCTATTCTTTCATGTTTAGTAGAATTATAGTTCCCCATTCTATCAAACATGTATAAGATCAAGCTTAATGATAACACTATTATATCATGTCTATCTTAATTAGTAAAACAATGGCATATCTAGAACATAACTGCTTTTTATATTCTGTAACCATATCTTCAGATAGTATCTGTCCCTTCTACTCAATTCAATTTAATATATGTATCCTCTGGCAACACAAATATGTTAATTCTTATATATCACAACCAAAAACACAGACATATAATAAATATTATAATTATATAATCCTTTACCTTTTGAAAAATACTGTGATATTACATACTTAATTATTTTTTCAAGAAAAATATTCTGGATCTGAGATTTATTATTATATCCAATTTGACATGTATCCTTCATCTATATGTTTTGCTGGCTATACTGTGCTTATAGATTGAAACATTTCTGGCTAATTACATTGCTGAAGTTATGAATCTAAATCGTTTTGAATATAATATCTATGCTACCATGTTTCTTTTTTCTTTGTATTTAGCAATCACACATACACAGTCTAAATCAATATTCAGCAAATTAATTTCATTACAGTATAATAATAGCCAACAGGATTTTAATATACTGAACCATAAATAAAAGGGGGGAAAAAACTATACATCCAAGGATAGAGAATGTACTGCTCAGGTTCTCCATGCTGCAGGTGGGGAGGTGTGCGTTTCAGGTCACGACAGTGGCCCGGTGTTTGAGGAACAGCCCTCCAGTCTGGTTTTTCCAGAAGGCTTGACCGAGGAGAAAGTCACCCTAGCCTGTAAGGCCAGAGCTAGTCCTGCTGCCACATACAGGTAAGGTGTTATGTTATTTATAAAACAATCCAGCTACCAATGTAGCGCATATCTTCTTGCAACAATGGAGTACACAATCTTCAGTCAACAAATCATCTTTAATCTCAAATAAATCTCAATAAAATGTAAATCTCCAAAGTACAGGCATCATAGATACAAGTTAAAATTTACAAGAATAAGTTACTTGATTGTTTTTATTTGAATTATGTAGGTCACTCAAAACAGCTCATTTCTAATGAATTAAGATATCAGCTACCCTCAAAAGCTAAGGCACACTTTAAGCTGCCAGCACAACAGCTAATACATACACTGCCAGTCAAAAGTTTTTGCACACAAAGAGATTTTCTACATTTTCAGGTTACTAGATTAACATTTACTTAAAATACACTCAATATTCTATTCTAACAAATACATTTACAGTATGTTCACCATTTGAGTACCTTTATTCGCAAGAACATGTCATATTTTTGATTCATCAAAGTAACCCCCTCTAGCAGTTATAACAGTAGAGAAAATTTGAGGCATTCTTTCTACAAGAGACATTAAATACTGCTGTTTTATGTGATGAAATGGTAAACTAGTTCATTTAAAGTTAAAGGACAGCCTAGAATTTAACTATGCCATCACCATACAACCAGTTATGGTTAGGATGTCAGACATGCACTGTTACATACTCTTTTCATGTTATAAAGGAAACTTGTTTTATTTGACTTATATTTTCCTTTATAGTTGTTCACTCAACTTTCCAGTGCTTAACATAAGAACTATACAAATGAGAGGAGGCCATTCGGCCCATCAAGCTCGCTTGGGGAGAACTTAACTAATAGCTCAGAGTTGTTAAAATCTTATCTAGCTCTGATTTAAAGGAACCCAAGGATTCAGCTTGCACTATGT